AAAAGGCTCCCATAGGTCTAAGGCGTTGCCAGAATTTCCCACTATTAGTCATGCCTGTAAGTTACAGAATTGAAATATCCATTAACATGCAAATACGCTGGTTGAGAAGATTGTTGGTTTTTATCAGTCACAAACTGCTAAGTTCACTCTGGTACTAGAGTAGTGGCAACACAAAGCAAGAATGGGCTAGACATGAGACAGAACATCAGAACACTTTTACAAGCACATAAGTCAGTGCAACACCATCCAGGATGTGCTGTGAGTCAGCAAAGGCTAGCATTACTCAGAATGGGAGAGGGAGGTTTAAGAGGAAAGGCAAGGGAGTTGGTACAAGCCAGTCTGGGTCCTAAGATTTCTGTACCCACGCCTGTGCAAAAGAACCATCAGCTATGAAATGCACAGTCAGTCCTGTGAAAGTTCCTTTAATGCAGCCAAGAACTATTGACTGCTGGGGTCTTTCCTCATTAAATCACTGAAAAGGTACAAATGAGATCCATTTTTGTGTGATAAGCAGGACACACACATTCAGATCATGTCAATTGGCTGCTCAGACAGAACGTGAAGGGGAGAGAACAAATGCCAATGATTTGTTTCTGCAGGTGCTTCTCATCACACTGCTTCAGGGTAACCTAAGGTCGATATTTTATCCCTGGGGCTTTTCATTCATCTCTAACAGTCGAGACCAAGATGCTTCATCATCTAAAATGCCCTTTTCTATAAGGTGATCACTTTGTTAATATTCCTCCTGTACATGTTTAAAGTGGGCCCCTTCACTGTCCAGTTGGATTAACCAGTCTATTGGATGCCATGAGTGGAGTAGTTACAGAACACTATTCTCAGCTTGCCTATTGCATTCTCTCCAACATTCTCTAAAATTTAAAAGCTGCCCCCCCATCCACTATTAGAGATGGAAATAAATTCTGAACTGGCCAGATAATGGCTTGCTTAAAAGTCATACTGAGCATGCCAGATATGGTGGAACACTCCATTGATCTTAGCACTCTGGAGGAAGAGATAGGTGAATCTCTGTGAGATTAACGCCAGCATAATCCACATAGTAAGTCCCATGCCACTTGGGGCTACGTAAGTGAGACTATTTCTAAAACAAAATGAAACAAAATAAAGTCCTACTGGACAACATTGCTTAAGGCAAGATCACAAATGAACAATTACTAAATGCAATTTTGCCCACAGCCATGATTTATGTGCTCCATAGAGTACATTTCCACATAAAAATACAGACTTCTAGGATTTCTTGAAAATAACTTCAAACAATTTAGCATAGTGGACCCTACTCTCATTTGCCAGCAGTGAGAAATGGCGGGATGTTACAATTTGCTACTCCCTATGGCCTGGGACAGTCTATGTCTGAATCCTAGAAACATTTGACAATTGATTGGAAGGCTAATGATTGTTTGGGTTCAGCCATCCAACTACTTTTCCTTGTATTGATTATTTGCATATTCACCAGAGAACCGCTTAATAGGGTTTGTTTCCTAAATGGCTAAAGCTCATTTCTAAACTGCACAAAAGCATTTGTTTATGAATGATTCACCAGCCGAAGAAGTCTGTTCATGCTAGATTTCGCCTTTTGTTCATTTACAGAAGTTTCAGTAATTTATGTCTCTCTGAAACCTCCTTAGGGCAGACCTCTTCTCACCCCAGGGACCTTATTCCATTATCTCGCTCATCTTCTCTCAATCCTTCCCTGTGTCTTCCATTATCACCTGATCTGCATTTTCACCTTCTAGGAACCAAATATCCTGCCTCCTCTGATTACTTCAACTAGTCCTCTTCACAAATTCAAGGTGAGAATAAAGGGGGAAAATGCTACAAAATAGCAAACAGCCACCTAAAATAGGCCTTGGGAAATAAAACTATTAGCTGTAGGCATATTGAGCAAATGACCTAAACTTGCAATTATGTATATTTTCTGTTCTGTCTTATTACTTATTCATATGGACATTCAAAGGAAATAAAAATAAATTTACAATAATGTTCTATAAGTACAATATGATTTATATAATAAATGTGTTGCAAGGAGATGGATGCATTTAAGACAAATCCAATTTTCATACAATAAGAAAGCTATTTGAGCAAATATTATTGAAAATGTTTCATATAGGAAATCATTTCATTATCAAAGGTTAACTTTCTAACTTACCATTTTTTAATAGTTGGACCTTTTTAAAACTTGATATACTTAAATTAACCAGCACTTAACATTTGTTTTATTGAATACACTTTTCTTAGATTCATAAATTTTAAAAGAACATTTGGGAAACAACCTTTTAAAATTGATAATTTTATAAAACACATATGCTTGTAACACACTATTTTACCTTAATCTACATGATTTTATAATGAACAAATACTGTTATTTCCATATTAAAATTGCTCCCCCATGTTTTTATGCTACTAGATTCTAAACAAGTATGATTAGTATTTAATGTGATGCCAGCCTTGGATTTTGACGATGAGAATTAAATCATTGTAATTGCTCTGATAATGCTAAAATGCACAAGGCACCTAATACTACAAAAAAGAAACAATTTTCATATAGCAACTCAAGCTTTTCCATGTAGCAGCCATCTTTGTTTCTACATCAAAAATAGCATTTAAACTCTTTAAGTAAATATGAATATTTCTATCTTCTCATATGACTGATTATCACTGATTGACAGTGATTTTTTTTTCCTGGCTCTCAGCTCATTTTTGATGTGTTGTACATAGTTAGTAAATTTGAAGTGAATGCATAACTGCTTTCATTGATTGAGGCTGCTGTGTCCATATACTCCCTTACCTTGTTTCCCTTGGTAACCAACCACCTGAGTAGTCAATGAAAGGAAATGATTTGGGAACTGTGAGAATGTATTTGTACGATGTATGTACAAGGAAATCAAATCTATTTTGACCTTTTTTTTTGTAAACCACCATTCTCTCTTCCTATGTTTTTTTAAAGCATTCCTGCTCCTTGAAAAGCATAAAAGAGAATTGCCTCAAAAAAAAGGTAAATTGTGCAAGTGATGTATGAAATGAAAATCTTGTAGAAGAGTCTGGGAAGATTCTTGTGGAAGAGGGTGAAAGATTCTCATATTACCCTTGCTGGGTCCTTCCACTTGACTCTGAGACATACTAACTTTTGAGAACCTCTGCATGATAACCAATGAAATATTAAACCCATAGTTCAATTATTGATAAATTTGGCACTTGTAAATTAAAGTGATATGAATGACCCAAATAAGCAACCCTAGCTTTGTTTCTCCAGGATCTGGAATGAAACTAAAGGCACAAATTGTTCTCACCAAAATCCATTAGATGAGACTGTAAAGAAGGCTTGGTGCTTGGTTTATTATAGTTCAGCTTAGAACCAAGCCAAATACTAAAATGTCATAAAGCTTAACAAATGATTACCAAACACAAGAGTTAGTATGAATCTGATAAGAATCTGTGGTTATGGTCAAAGTGACCATGCCTTGTGCATGGTCAGGTCACTTATTAATGATAGGCCTGCAATTGAATCTTCTGCCATGAATGTGTCATGGAAGTTTGCTTCACATTGAAGAACTCAGAAACTAATCAAAAGCAGATCTTTGCTACTTAGGATTAGTCTAAAACAGTAGTTACTTTAAAAACCCATACAGAGAAAGAACATACATTGCTATTTCAAAGAATTACTTGAGTTTTTACAGAAGGTGTTCTGCAAATTGAATATGAGAAATAAAATTTTCATTACTTAAGATAGAATATGAACTAGTGGATTGAAACTTGGGGATCAAAAATTTACCTGAACATAGGAGTTATATGTCTGAATGCAGAGATTATCAAGACATCTGATTTTAATACTATTCATAAAAGATCAGGCAAAGATAAACAAAAGTAGTTGATTAAAAAATACCATTAGCAAGTATATGTCTTAATTAGTCAAGTGGATGATACCAACATTAGGTAACTTAAGAGGTAATGATTAATTACATTACTCTTAAGTCAATTAGTGAAAATTCTGAATGCCAAGTCCTTAATGCTACAAAATCCAAAACTTATTGAGTACCAAGATGATGCTACAAAAAGTTCACATCTCACATCATATAATAGATCACAAGAAAGTACTATCTAAAATTACTGACATGTTATCTATATTTAAATTGATATAAAATAAACATATTTATTTAAGATTCCAGTAATATTTACATAAAACATATTAATATAATACAAATACATTTTATATTTATACCCACATCTCATCTCCAAGCTGTTTCATCATTTATATCCAAGTTTTCCAAAAATTAAAAATAATCAGGACTATGAGTCACTTCTGGTCCTAAGAATTTTAGGTAAGGACCATCTAAGAGGTAAATAAACCAAGATTTGCAGATGAATAAAGAAAATTAAGTTTTGTCACACCATCTCTTGGCATGTGAGAAATATCATAATAGTTTTAGATTCCATCCTATGCTGCTGAAAATTAATTACTAAAATATTTGTCAGGTAAGAGTATTCTGAGTTTGTCTCTTGTACTCCCATGAATTCTTACTTATTCTCACTTCTACTTGGAGTTTCTTTATCTAAGAATCCTAACTTATAATGAATTGTGTGTAAATGCAATTCAACAGATTTCATTACAAAATACCAACAGAACCTCAAGTTAAAGACAGCCTTCAGCTAGATGGGGATTCTACCCATGAGGCAATATCTCAAAATCATTCCAGCATATCTCCTCAGAGTTATACACTGGCAATCAATGGCAGGTTGAAGAATTAAGGATGTTTCATAACAGCAGAGAACACACAGGCAGCCAAAGAGCCCTTGACCTCCAATCGCATGTTCCAATATCTCTTTAATTCAGTGCAACTTATTAAAAGTGATGTTTCCAACAGCTTGATCTGCTGCCAATTCTAAATTCACAGAAAGTTGTCTTGTCTCATTAAATATAACTCTTCCCTATCAAACCAAATCATAATTAACTTGCATTTGTCACACTTTGGTAGAGCAGCTCCTACCTGTAACTTTCAGTTCTGTTGTTCGTCTTACAAGTTTTCCTTCATATTTAAGTTCACATGTGTAATTTCCTCCATCTTCTTCTTGAACTTCCTGAATGAGAAGAGCATTTCCCTTCTGTATTATGATGCTTCTCCACATTTTTGGCTTGCATTCCTGCAGGTAAAATATTTGTAAGTAAGTGAGAAATGAATATTCGCACTGCTAAGTCTTAGAATTGGCACGGTAAAATTACATTGTTCCACATAGTCTTTCAAATGTGTAACTAAGAAGTTTAAATAATGTCCAAGCAAGTATTGTGTCCAGTTCAAATATCATTAGTTACAACATCAAGAGCCAATTTACAAACCCAATTCCAAAAGCAAAAGAACTTCAGAGGTTCTAAGCAAAAAAAAAAAAAAAAAAGAAAGAAAACTGTATAAGCTCCCAAAATACAAGAGTCACATAGAGTAATATTAAGAGCTGCTAAACATTACTTTAATGTCTTGCTATTTTTTAAACTGATATGGGTGTTTCCTAAAAGTCTTAAGGGACTATGGTTCATTTGGCCATATACCATACTTGATGGGAATATGAAGTATCACTTAACATTTATAACAGGCTCTTACATTAGTAGTGATGTTTATAAGTATTTCATTAAATATTTTCTGTTGTAAAACTAAAATGAAAAAAAGAAAAAAAACAAAAATGAAAACACGCATAAACCTTAATATTTATATCTCCAAACCTTCTTCCTTGTGGTCAAAAGTTGTAGGAGAGAATCTAAAAAAACTAGAACTCATTATTTCCTCAGAAATTAAAGGAAATGTAGGTATACTTTGTAATAGTAACATCACAGAGAAATCAACAGATTTTTTTTTAGAAATAAAAGGAAATGAAGCCATACTTTCCAATAGTAACAGCATAGAGAAATCAATGACCTATTGGGTGAAATCATTGATACATTATGAGAGAAGAAAATTTTATTTTGAAACAAATTGTCATTTTCTTCAGATCCGGAGGTGGGGGAGTCTTGCTAATACTTCGGACTTTCCAAGAAAATAAGGCACAATACTTTCCCATGAAGGACAAACACGTGGCAACCAAGTATAGAAGACTTTTCAGGCAAGAAGCTTTGGTTTGGGATTTTCCTAAACGACTTTTATATATTGTTCCAGTTCTCTCTGCTGCCAACTGGAAATTTTCAACCAAATTGTTAGTCAGACATTGTAGAAAGCAAGAAGGGAAGCACAGTGGCCAGCTATAAAGCAATACTGAACAGTTTAGATAAAATTACTTTGTCTTCTACATTCTGACTCTGTCAGTTGAGACAACAATAAAATTGATTACCAAGCAGATTATGTGGACAATAGTCGAAAGTACTTTCTCATTTCACTCACTGTGGTTTATGTAACTAACATCTGCATCCACTCTTCCTAACCCCTACATTCCGTATACATATTTCAGGCACTCACAAAACGTTGGAATCAGTGTTGATTTTCAGTCCCCAGCTGTGAGTGCCTGTAAGTGTTTATAAATTATTTGCAAGAGCAAGTACCCATTTATTACTTTTTCACTATAACTTTTTCTTCCTGTTAGCAGGAGACTTGGCAACAAAGCATAAAAATTGGCACTTAAGTTCATAGGTATAATATTCAAGAGATATGTCCAGTATAGCTATCCAAACACATTTTCAGAGAGGAAATAAAAGTAATACAACGGAGGACCTCTAGATATAAGACTGTTTTACTCCCTGGAGTCTTTCTGAAGAACAGTTAAGAGTCTGTCTGAAATTATATTACATACCATGTCTGGCAAGTTTTATCACCTATATGAGATTTGCTTCTGAGCTAAACCTTGGGATATAAGGTTTCTGGGAAAATGAAGAAACGTCTAAACAGAGAAGAAAAAAACCAGCCCAGCTGCCACTAACGTCATACAACAATAATCCACAATTATGTTCGCATTGCTTCCAACACTGATAGCCTCAGATTTCTAAAGAATCATTCTGAAGGTCATTAAACAAAAATATGGTCCCTCTGGGCATTTTGAGAGGAAAGCAAAATGAAAGCTGAGATGCTTTGCCCTCACATAGAGGTGGTGGGGGCAGGCAAAAGCCCATACACTTATTTTATTCAAAGATAAATGGCCTCATTTTCTAATGTCATTTTGGGGAAAATCCATATGTAATTAGTTATAACGACTTTTACATTCACTGACCACAGATTCCCGCCCCCCTCCATGCAGGAAGTAAAAGCTAAAATATGTAGAGGACTTAAAAATAGTTCCTGATGAATAGGCTAGAATCTCTGCATGTCCTTTGAGATAAATCTAGACAGTCGTGTGTACTTTCTAACTTGTCATTTAGATATATAAATGACTCCTTGTATCCAGCGGAAGTATGTTTCTCTGTTTGTAAAGCCAAGGCTTGTGAGAATGTTTTCAGATCATCTTCATTCCTATGCAGACCATGTGGTAAAGATGAAAAAGAAAACTAGGCTTGGGTGAAGATAACTCTAAGTGGAAATTCATGGTTTACCAACTTCTTAAGTCTCAATTTTGCATTTCCTATTATGGGGATAATATTAAGTACCATCTGATTTGCCATGACACAAAGGCCAGGTTTGTTTGCTTGTCATTTGTTGTTGGTTTGTCTTGGATTTTTTGAGTTTTGGGTTTTTTTTGTTTTTTTTTTTTTTGGTGATTGTTGTTGCTGTTTTCTTTTCAAGAGGCAGGGTTTTATTCATCGCATTCTTAAGCAGCAGTACCATGTATAGTTGTCATCTGGTGCAGAGAATATTTTCCATTTTGAAACCTTCCCAATCCTGGGTCGTATCTCTCTAGAGCCACTTGTCCTGTTAAATAAGCCTTGTAGCTACTGGACTAATCAGATAACACTAAATCCTTACTCGTTGGCTAACTACCACCAGTAAAACAATACTTCAGCTGCCTGAATATGCACAGCTCCGAAGAGGGCATTCTAACAGTAATCTTACAGGTGGATGGAGGAATTGTATTTACTCATTTATTTATTTACTTATTTTCATTTAGGTTTTTCGAGATAGGGTTTCTCTGTAGCTTTGGAGCCTGTCCCGGAACTAGTCCTTGTAGACCAGGCTGGCCTCAAACTCACAAAGATCCACCTGCCTCTGCCTCACGAGTGCTGGGATTAAAGGTGTGCACTACCACCGCCCAGCTGAGGAACTGTATTTTGATCGAAGGAGCCTGTATTAAGTATCTTTACCATTACCCCCCACGGATGACTCTCTGTCTGTTCCCAGCTATCTACTATTCAAACAATTATTTTTGCATCATATAGAATTGCAGATGTTTTCTAGGCTTTGGCTCCACTTATTTGAAGTATTTCTTCTCTAAGATACTGGCTGCTAAGTTTAATGATGTCATTACATCAATTCTGCCCCCTACTTGCCTAGTGGACATATCATATTGCCACATTTCACTGTCTCATACCTGATTTATTGTTACGGACCACTGAGTGAAAAATATTCAAGTGCACAAATCACAGAACAATAGGTATTCTTCTAAGAACAGTTAGTAAAACCACCAAAAAACAGCTCAAATACATAAAAACTCTGAATATTCACCTGGTTTACATTCCCTCCAATATATTGGCCCTAGTTCTATTGAAATAAACCGCATCAATTTGAAGACTTTAGTAAGGGTCAGCTTTATAGAAGTTGTCCAGCTCTAGTTCTTTTTCATCCAGCTTTATTTTCTAGCTGGCTACCCCTTCGTGGAGCAGGTTTTCATAAGACATCCTTGCATGACAAATGCCAGTCTATAAACCCCAGTTTCTTTCCCTTTCGCCCTCCTTTGGATACAGATAACTCATGCAAGCAGTTGCTAGATTGGGAGAGCTGAATGCACAAAAGACACATTTATTCATGTAGTCTTTTTAAATAACCTGTTGGCTGACTCATTTAGATCTTGGAGTTTTTCTCCCCTGTACCCATAATCTACTTAAGAGATATCATCTTCATACCCATGGAAGGTTTTTTAATCCATTTGTTATGGTCGTCATGGTTCATTTACTGCCATTTGGTACACACAATTCATTCCTCATGGCCAGAAGATCATGAGGGTTGATTTAAATATTTCACCTGATTCTGAGGATTAATCACCAAGCAGCTGTGTGGATGAAGGCCCGTTAGTGACTTCTGACCCTCAAATCACTTATATCTGCGTAGATAACACCCACCCCCTTAGGACGACTTCTTTCCTTTCTCCTGCACTGTGTACTGTCCCTTGAGGCATCTATTCATCAGTTTCATGGTCTTCAGGAAACCCATGTTTTCTATAATATGAAGACAGGATAGGTGGCTAAGACTACAAGTATGAATTGGGAATGGACCTCAACCTCATCAGTCCTACCTCTACCCTAAACCAAAAACCGAGAATATCTCACTCCAAGGAGTCTTTCCCCTCCCGAATTTTAATCTTCCAATCATATCTTCAACCTTACTGTTGATAATAATAGCCCATAGTCAAAAAGAATAAAGTTTTGTACCTGAACACTTGAATAAGAAATACCAGTTTTGTGCTTCTGAGCAGTTAGTTGCTGCCCCTATTTTTAAAAATTGGGAGCAATAATATGTATTGAGATGACAAAGATTAAGTGGGGCAATGCATATAAATGTCCTGTATTATAACATATTGTAAGTTAAAATTGTGTAATAAATCCCAACTCTCATTCTATGACTGTTAACTCAGTAGTCTTTTTTCAGATTGGTTATTAACCAATTATAGAGAATTAATATAACTAGCATTTCTAGAGGACTCTAGAAACAGCATTTTAAGTGGTTATCATTCTAGAGCTGGGGCCATCTTTTACAGTCTGTCATCAAAAGGGGTTTAAAGTCATCACTATCATTCTTACAAAAAAAAAAAACACCTAAACAAACTGAAGCTCAGCAGTTCTCAGAATCTTCAGACAGTTGATGTCATGGAGGAAACATCCACCACAAGTACTGCAATGACACAGAATCGTAGCTCTTAGGAACAGGAACTGGAATAACTGTTTAAACACTATAACTCCCACTAGCCTTTGAATTGTAGGAGGAAAAATAAAGACAATAGGTATGTGTGATGGTATCTACCTAGAAACAAGGCTCACTAAATCGCTGAGACCCAATAATAAAAGGACAGAATGTAGAATG